TTTGCAGCCTTCAACATGATGGATTGTTGCAATATATTTGAAGATGCACTCAAATCCATCTGGTGAACAAACAATAAGGACATGACAGCTTTTGACCATTTGTACTTCCATGAAGAAATCATTTCCGAGTTCTCTCTTTAGATTATATCTTCAAGCAATGTCGACTTCTTAATTACAACTATAAATAAAACCAATTCCAGGACAACGGTATCGCCGAATGACATACTGATCCAAGTTCTTCAAAACCAAATGAACATGGCTATATAATAAAAATGAAAATAATTACTGCTCAAAAACTGTGCAACTTTTACGGATAAATATGTAAAACAAAACAAGGCCACATATAGCACTTATCCACGCCATCCTCTCACGATCCTTTGACTATGTTCCTTAGGAAGCGTGTAACACCCCGCTTTTCGTAAATTGAATTTCTAGAATAAATTTTTCTTTTTATAAAACTTTTGAAAACTTTACTTGAAACTCAGGGTGCTACTTACTTTGAAAAACGTTTCACACATAATCCTTTCATAACCATAAAACTTTTCATGAACATAAACATTTCATACGTGAACATGGAACATTTCATACATGAACTTTTCCTGGACATGAACATTGAACATGGCGCTGCCTTGAGAACTTACACTTTAACTTGACTTGCATGAACCATGACTTATTTCATAAAATAAACTTTGCATAGCGGAAGCTTTTAAAACATAAATATCATAAACATTTAAACATGTGACCACCCTCGCCATCGCTCCTTTGCCAGCTCGCCAAAACCTGGGTGTGGAAAACAAATGGGGTGAGCATTTCCGCTTACTCCGTGAGAGATCCCTCTACGTTATCATCCTAATCAACTATAAAGCATGAAATCGTTTTCGTATACTCCACATAGTCATGAGCTCCTGACGAGTGGTAACCCACAAGTCAAAAGACTTTCTTGTGCTCCCGACGAGTGGTGACCCACAAGTCGAAAAAATTTCTTGCTTCTACAACACTATTAGACAATTAAACACTAGAGCCTTTGCATGCAGCTGATTACATTCTTGTCACACTCTCATCACTCATCAAACCTTATACCACTTTATGGTGGTGGAAGAACAATGCCTCTCGCAGATGGCACGGCCAA